GAGAGAGAGAGAGAGAGAGAGAGAGAGAGAGACTGAGAGCATGAGCTGATGCTGTGTTTGAGGAGCACATGAGGATGCGATGCCAGGGCTGGTGTGTCACCAAAATAAGATTTTTACTAAATTTGGTCACCAAAAGCCTCGCATAGATTACAGCATTGATAGAGGTTTTGCACATCCGATGGATGGTTAGGAACCAAACAGTTTTCTTCATTCAGTCATTTCGTACCACTCTTTGTATTAATCGTTTTGAACCGAACGATGAGTTCTTGTGTTTTGTAATAAGTTTTTGAAATATAATTTCCATTCAATAAATATATTGCAGAAGAAGTGATTGTGTGGGCGAACGACACACACATAAAGAAAGTTATTTCTCGTTTTCATTTGGCTATATATGGAATGAATGCTAAATCGAAATGTAAACTCAATAGACAAATGACCGTCACTTCTCACAGTCCTATCAGTCCTGTCCTCCACTCAACGCCCGATAAGTTTCGTCAGAAACAAGTGTTTCACACGAATGTCGACAGAATATGTGTTGACTCGCATTCGCACAGGAATTCCGGTAATGTTTCGCTCATAGAGTCAAAGTTGCTTAAAGATACCCAACGGCCGGATCCGTCCTCTTCAGTCATTCTGCGCCAAAAGCTTCTTCACCGCAACAAAAACGGCTCAATCGGCGGTTTAGGCAACGCTTCAAAGGCCACCCGAAAGAGCTACAGTCGCTCACATAATAATGGCTTCAAGTTTCACAACTTTGTGGTGAATGAAGACAAGCGGTCGTGTCTTGAGGAACAACACGGAACCAAAAAGATAACAGTTTCTCATTGGAAGCGACCCAACACTACGATCACCATTAATGAAGAAACACAACAAAATACATGTCACCCAAGCCTTCCGTCCCAATCGATTCTTGAGACTCTCTTAGCGCCCAACACTTCCAACACATCCGCTCCTTCGCCTACCATTGAAGACAATCATAGAGTGAGTAAACGAAAACCACTACACGTTCGTCGAGTACTTCGACAACAGCGTAACCAAAGTATGGAACCGTTAGGACGTCTTCAGCCACAGGACGAACCCCTGGATCTGTCGCTCAAGCGATCGGACTTTTGCGAAGACAACGAAACCAATGACTTAAAAGAATTCAGCGATTCTTTGAGATTAATTCACAATCAAAACGAGACGTTTAGTACGGATTATACGACAGAATCAGAATCAGTGCAAAACCTAATCAAATCAGTCAACCAATCGGCAGCTCAGGCGTCGGCTATCATAGCATCGGTCAAGTGTCCCATTAGTGCTAATTTCTCATCAAATGCTTCATCAAATTCAAGTAACGATTCGTCGATAGCTTTGAGACATCAAATGGCTATCAATTCTGGCCTTTCATCAAAACATCAGAAGAATAGACAAACGCATAGAAGTCTTATTAAGAAACAATTGGAGGAAACATTCAAACAAAACGGATTCTTAGTTAAGGTATAATCAAATTTTATATATTCTTATAATACAAGTGATGGATACCTATTGGGGCTCTAACCTCACCGGTGGGTAATTCCCTAACACTTTCACACAATGATAAGACTATTTGAGTGATATTTGAGTTAAAATAATTCATATATTCGTGTGAATAGATTATGGTAATTTTAAATTCATTGTAATTCATGAGTTTAATATTCATGTTAAATGAATTTATTTATCTCATTGTATAAAATTTGAATATTTAACTCAAATTATTCGTTAACATCTTTATTGTGTTGAATATTTTAATAATAATATTATTAACATTTAATTAATTAATATTTATATATTTTGTTATGACTTTAATTGCTTTGTAAAAATGTTATCCAATATAAAGGAAATGTTAATAAATAAACCAATTAATTCAATATCTACAATGGGCTCTTGGTTTGAGATACATGTTTGGTATGAATCCCATTATCAATATAAATAGTTTATTATAAACGGGGACTGATTTAGTTACATGGTTATTTTAGTCTGTAGTTTTATATACATTTTAGAATATTCTTTATCAAGTCATTTATTAAATAGTAATTGAATGCCAATTAACTTTTAAATAACAATTAAAGTTGTTTATAAAAATCTATTTGTTTACTAAATCTCAACGATTGTTAACAAATATTTAGTTGTGTTTATAAAATGTAAAATAATTATTAACTAATAAGCAGTTTATGAAGAAAACAAATAATATTCAAAACTATTTATAGTCATTTGCGTCGACGAAGTCTTGCATTTTAAAAATATAACACTTTTTGAATGTCATAAACGGATTCTCATTTAACGTTATCATTATTTTATGAATTAAAATTATCAAATCATTTTCACTACACATTAAGATGTGCTGCAGAATTAAATGTATATTTCAGGTGTGTTTGAATTTTTATTTTTATTACTTCAATAAAAATAACATTTAAAGTCTCAATCAGACGTAAAGATTTAGTATATTTAATAAAAACGTTTACTAAACTATTTTAGAGTCAAAACTCACGAAATACTTCACTTATTTAATTGAAGCCTATTTTGCATATGAAATGAGCGAATAATTAGTATTTGTTACTCGTTTAGCACTTATTGCATATAATAATGAGAATAATTATAAAATTGTATATGAATTGAGATTCTTTAATGATTTAATTGTAGTCCACAGTTGACTGAGATTTTCATGAATTTAAGCAATTATTTAGATAACAGCAGACTATTTGAGTGACAATAAGGCGTCGACTTAATTATCTCAGAAGTAATAAAACAAAATTAAAAGCAAACGAAAAAATTGTTGATAACTATCAGTCCCTATATTTCTAATGATTAATTGACGCAAATATGTCATAAAATTAAGTGATTACCAGTAAATATAATAAAGTCATGATTTTTGTCACAATATCCATGTTATACACAAATAAGCTTTTGTGTTATAAACGCAACTCACAGTATATACGGTATATGCACTCAAAACTATATAATAAATTGATTTACTTAATCAATCAAACGCTATATTAATGACACTAACTGTTGAATATTTACGAAATCCCATTGAAATAAATGATAAAAATGAAAAATAACACCAATTTTCTACAAACTTAACATAATTTATCTAAATTTTACCGGAAAAAACTGTTGGCAAAAACAAAATATAAATGAATTACTTGTAGTGTAAGAATAATTGATTAAATGATTATGTATTTAATTTAGACCAAACAAGTGAGTGATGCCAACAATTCAGCGATGTTTTGTAAGTTCCGTCAATTACGCAAATATACCCGATATTACCTGAAGTCATGGCACCACCACTTGCCCGACGAAGTCAATAAGCTATGGAAAGGCTTTCTGCCGCCCAAAACCGAAAAGCCTAACTCTAGTCATAATTAATTTTGTTTTGTTTTGTGTTTTTTCTTTTGTTCAGTTTATGTCATTAATTAATATTTCAAAATCAAGTGATAATTTGTCGATGAATTTAAGAATTGATAATAAATACTACACTATTTAAGTCTTTATAATATTCTAGTCTATACTTTACTTTCATTGTATATATAATACACTGAATGCTTGTTTTTTGTCAAAACGATTTGATTTATTGAACTAATAAAATGTTATTTCTTATCACTTATTGATGTTTTCACTTCTTTCCAATCATTTCGACGAAATTTTATATCAATTTATTGTCTTATCTCTAAAATGTTACGGTTATTGAGGAAACCATAAATGCATTAAACATTTTTATGCTTAAGTCATAAACATTTATATCATATCTAATATTTATAAAAATTGGTATAAATAAAATAATAATAATAATCACTTTTTTAGTGTGAGTTTAATTAACAAAATATTAAACAATTGAATCATATAATACACTAAAATTACAGCAATATTTCTGCCACTGTTTCTAAATTATATTTAAATTAAATTGTAATAACAAATGAAAACTAAATTTGTTTTTTATTATTATATCAAATCATATAAATTATATATATATTTAAAGGATTTGTCAAAATTGAATTGAAGGCACACATAATTGAAATTACGAAAAGCAAAATTACATAATCATATGTATATATATTTATATATATATTCAGTCATCACAAGTAAACGGATTATAAAAAGTAATTATAAGGTATATCTCTTAAACAAAAAGGGGTTTGATTTCAAAATAAATGGAGATTTGCAACAAAAAAAATGTTTGGTTTGGTTTTACAACGAAAAGTAAAGTTGGTTTTAAATAATCACAAGAGTTATAACAAACACAGAATTTTTATGTATAAAAATTCCGTATAAGAAAATGAAATAAATTATTGCAAATCATAACTTTTATTGCAAATAAAACTTTTGAAAATTAATTTCATTTTTGTTCAACATTTCATTTTTTGTTTAGCATTTGTTTTTTAGATTTCAATAAAAACTGTTTCAAACTTTGAAGAATTGACACAAAATTGGGAAGAAAAACATTTCTGGCATTAGTTTTTTTTTGTTCAACAAAGTATTCACAGAAATATATAATTAATATAAACTTTTAAATGTCTTTTTAAATTATGACATAATATGTGTATTTCTTTCGACAGGTATTTTGTATTGTATTTCAATCAATAGTTTTTTATTGTGCGAAATATACAGTAAATATTAACCTTAAATTACAATTTATATTTCAATTACTAATTATATTGTTTTGTTTGATCCGTGCTCTCAATCATTAGATTTATTAAATAAATAATTAGATAAACAAAGTTTTCAAATATTGCCTCATATTATTTAATTATTACTTTATATTCAATATAAACATTAAGAGATCATTTAACAGCTATTTATAAATTTTATGCCAATTATATATAAAAAATTATCGGATTCTTGGATATAAAGTATTTAATCATTTGGATTGGATTTTGAATCAATCAAAGGATTGTATTATAATTGAACAAAAAATATTTCGTATGAAAATTAAAGACTATTTTATCATTATTTATGCAAACAATTGGATCATAAAATTGAACAAAATTTCTCAATGAATTTGAAGCTCATATTTTGAGGTGAAGTTTTTCAGGGAAAACAATGTAATTCAATGAATGTATGAATTTATTTGACATTATGTCGGATGATATGATGGGCAAAGTGGTAGAGCGGGGGTCAGGCGACGGACAGCATGGCTGGCGTGGAGGCCTCGGACGAGGGAGGGGTAGGCAGTTGTGGTACTACTAGTGAATCACTCGATGTGGTCATAATCGGAGTTTTAGACCTATTATTAACATTATTATTATTATTAATATTATTGTTATTCACAGATGATATCGACGATGAAGAGGAGGAGGATCTGACTTGTGGACAATGTGGTCGCGCCAACTGTTCAATACTGAACGGACTATTACGAGGCGGACACGACTGCGGCGGTAGCGGCGACGGCGCGCTTGTCATTTGAACTCTCGCGTTGATATCGTTATGTATTTGATGAATGAGTGGCAGATTGTGGTGATTATGAGGTATAATATATTCACTATTAGGAACAACTGGAGGACTCGATAAACTCAGGTCTGCCGACGACATCGTCATGTTATCGCCGTCGCTCTCATTGGCACTCTTGGAGTCAGGAGTGGGCGCCTCAATGCTGTCCACACTTCCGATATTGTCTTCACTCTCGCCGGCGGTGTCGCCGCCGTCTAAATAACGAATGCATTTCTTTTTTCTCCTATTAATCGACAGCAAAACAAATCAAACGTTAGATTCTGTGCATCAATAAAGTGGATGATATGATGTGATTGAATACCTGCACGGTTTGCACCAATTATTTTGTTGATCTAAACCGAATCTGGCCCTACATTTCTTCAACGCTCCTCCTTCTGGTTGGTGTCAAACAAGTCATCAAACAATGGATTAATATTAAGGGAAACAAGAGATCAATTGTGGTTTGAATGCATACCTCCGTCACTATTCTTGTCTCGTTTTTTCTTCTTCTTCTTAGCATTGGCCGCATAGTTATCTCTGGCCGTCCATCCGGGGTATAACTGCATATGCAATTGCCTGTGAATGCGATAAAGAGAGACAATGTATGAGATAATGTTGTTTAACATAATATTCTCGTTTTGGAAATCATTTTTTCGAAGAAAAGCAAAGTCAAAATAAGCGGCAGAAATAGTGAACACAATTTTCCATCAAAATTATAATACATTTTAATGAAAAGTAAAAAGTTTTTTAGACATTTTCCAAAACACACAGACATTGAAAGTCACGTTCAGTTGTGGAGAAAAATCAAAATATAAATCACATAAATAAGTAAAACAATATTAAAACGACGTCTAATTATATCAATTAAAAGTGAAATAATTAGCAAATAATTCATAAATAGATTCTTTAACCCCTTTTTATCGTCGAAGAAATTATATCATTAGAGAAAATCTGCGAAATGTGTTCAACTCATCCATGAATTTTACAAAACAATTTGGGAATTACTCGCAAAATAATTAATAAACTTATTATTATAAGTGTTATTATTGAAAATGGGTTTTCATAAATATATTTGCCATAAAAATTAAAAATGATTTATTTTTCTTACAACAGAGAAAATGTGTATTTCATGTAAAATGTGATAAAAATTTTAGTCTAAATGCGAATCAATGATATAATAAGAGATAAGAATAATAAACAAAAATGCATTTATAGGCACAAAAATGATGAGTTTTAAACGTAAGTACAGAATATGGTTTTAAAAACACATTTTCAAAAATAAAAGTCTCGGGATTTGTTTGTTTTGTTTAGTGAAAGGGTTTTAAACAGTGATTTTCATAACAAATGCAAATGGAAAGTAGTTTTACAGACCAGACATACCTTTCCTTTCTGGCCATATCATAATATTTTGCCTGTTCTTCACGTGTCAATGCGTGCCACTAATGGATCACATGGTGTAGAGAAAGACAAACATAATTCATATCATAAATACAATAAATACATGGATTTTTAATAAATAGACAAAATATTTTCAATCTTATATAAGAGTGTGCCATAAGAAATGAATTGAGTGATCATACCCTTCGTCCGAGTATCTGATTGATTGCCGCGCTTTCTTTGAGTGTACACTCGGCCACCACTTTAGGTCTCATTTCTTTCATGTATAACATGAAAGAGTTGAGCGGTTTCTTGACGTGTGGTTTCTCTTTGCTATGTTTGGGTGTCTTTCCGTTGAAGCTTTCGGGCGTTCCCGGAGATGACAGCGAATGGTTGGCACTATTGGTCGAATTGGGTGGACTGCGGACCCCTCCGCCACCGCTGCTCCCCGTACTGGCCGTCCCTGTGGTTGAGCTCCCATTACTGATACGACTGAGCGATGGTTTTTGATCGTAATTATGTGACGATGAGTGTGAATATGGGGGCAATGAATGATGCCTTGAATTACTACTCGAACTGCTATTTATATTATTGTCTGTACACGAGTGCGAGTGATGCGAATTCATGTGGCTATTCATGTTATTCATGCTGGCGGTCGCCGCGGCCACAGCCGCCGCCAACTCCTGGTTATGCTTAGAGCCCGCGCTCGCAGCCATTAAGGCCTGGTGTGTGAGCCCCGGATGGCCTGACAGTGACGGGTGCGGCGCTATGAGTGGCGGCCGACCGAACCCTGGAAAGCCTGACGTGGGAACGGAGCCCAGGCCAGGGTATGGCCCCCGGAATGCTGACGGACCCATTTGGTACATGGCTGGCGTGTGCCTACAATCCACAGACATTATATATTTATATGATATTCAATGAGACAATCGATTCAATTCATTCATACCATTGCAGTTGTTGTGCAAAATCAGGGAATACTGGATGAGGAGAATACTGTCCGTAACCCGGGATCGGATACATCGGTGGCCGAGGGATCCCTATGTGTGTTAAATAAACATGTTAGAATTTTGCTAAAAATAACCATGTACATTAAGTAATCTAATCACTAATCTGCACCTTTGAGTGCTTGCAGTGAAAGCATATCCAATAACTAACATAATTAAACAATTAAAACAATTTTACACTAATTATTGTAATGAATATTCAGTTATCTGATGAAGAAGTGGAGGAATATATGTATGCATTAGTAATAGTGATGGAGATATGCTTTCATTGCAATACACGCCTGTTGTGCACGAAAGGGAGCAGCAGTTGTTCTGCAGTGAAGCTGTAATAACAGCTCAAAGAGTGTGTGTTTTGTGAGATAAACATCACATAATATATGGTATGAGAAGTGCATTGAAATGGAGTGGAAGTGCAGTGAAAGTGCGATAACGTATGGATCGCATCGAAGAGAGCAAAGACTCTCTCTCTCTCTCTCTCTCTCTCTCTCTCTCTCTCTCTGTCTTAACATATACTGTATATTGTTTATAAGGTCTGAAGGCATGACTTGGCGTTCAAAATGCCATAACAAGAGCTGTTTTGATAGGATAACAAGCAGAACAGAAACACAACCACAGCTGCAAACACTTGGATTATGGGTTAGCACTGGTGTAGAGGGGCTGCGATCGCAATCAATCGCCCTCTTCTTCTTCTTCTACTTCTTCTCCTTTCCATACCATTCCCTCACAAAAATCAAAACCAAACGTCTCATAACTTGTCGACAAGTTTTTTGTTATATCGTTTAAAACACCCAAACATTAGTAATGAAAATCTAGAATTACCGGGTAACTCGAAGTGATCCATCCATCCGGTAATTCTGCCCGTCCGGGGGTCGATATGGACGGGAGGTATACCCATGTGGGCCGGGGGTGGCTGTGGAAATGCATCGATGTTTGGCAATGGATAGAATGATAGGGGAGATGCGGTCGGATGGGGGCCCCCAACCATATGATGTGGCACTTTGTTCGCCTATGGATTGCAAATATATAAAACACATTAGTTTTTCAATTATTAGTAAAATTCTTGTTGAGAAAAAGATTGTCCGCTAATAACATGTATTTATAAATTGTATGTCTAATGAGTTTCGTATTTCGTTTCGTTTGGAAAGTAATAATTAATTTTCTTATTTAATGAATGAATTCTTGTTAATCGCCTAAAACTAAATGCCTTCTAAACGAATGGCTCGTTATATTGTAATCAAACGCCAGAATTTAAATCATACTTAAAATCAGGAGAAGTATCGCAAATATATGGACAATATTTCAAACATAAAAGCCATAAAAAGTGGCATAAAAAGGCAACATCTTAACTATTTTGTCAAAAATAGGCGGTGCGTGTCATTTACCCTCTCATTTAGGGCTTATTTTTATGTATATCTCTTTCTTTCTCAGCAAAGCCTCTGTAGTTATAAAGCAATGCATGGGTTAAACAGAGAATCGAGTCAAACGATTGTCGTATACATTGATAATTGATTGATTGTAACCCCGGATAAGGCATAAGGATTGTCAAAAATCTCATTCAATTATTTAATAGTTTTTCAAATAAATGAAGTCCAAAATCAAATCAGAGAAATCTTTATCTCTGATGGCATCTCAACAAAAGGCTGGTCTTCCAGGAAAGCCATTTACCCTCTAATCGTCAAATAAGTTGACGAAAAGTGTAGGGAAAGAGACTTTTTTGAGAAGTTTTGCCTCTTGTGGAGAGAGAGAGAGAGAGAGAGAGAGAGAGAGAGAGAGAGAGAGA